TATCTCCACTCAGTTGATCTGAAAAACAAAATGAAAATATATTTTTACAAATATATCCTTGATTATAATTTTCTGGAAACTATGAAATTTACCCAGATGAAAGGCTTTCTATAAGCAAGGTCCTATCTACTGTAGCAATGATAAAAGCCACCTTTCAAGCTAATTATTACAACAATCATCAATGATATTGAAACAAACATTGATTGTAATACTAAACAACAATATTTTTCAAAGAGAAACGTATATAATCATATAAAAAGCCAAAGGAATTTTTTTTTTCAATTAAACTAATAAGCCATATAAAGGATGATGTTAAGGCAAAGGCAGGGCACAGAATCTTATTTACCTCGTACCCCATGCCTAGTGACTGGGGCGAACAAACCTTGGAAATCTAGACACCAGTCGCTTGGTTAGCAAAGGATTTTCCTTTCTTTGTGTGAAGTGGGTGTTGGCACTCTCTAGATTGAGTCTATTCCGTCCCTAGTCGAAATATACCGTTAAGCTCAGTAGCTCACACTCGCGTCTGAAGAAATGGCTCCCTATCATTGTGTCCTGGTTTGACCCTGGACACAAAGCACATTCAGACTTTGTAAATGGTTCTTAACATGTCTGGTTCACTCCCCAAGCAAGATACAACTCGTATGATATTTGTAGACATGTTTAAGTCCGCATGCTATCTTTTCTGCATCAAAAATATTGACTTCTCACACTCGACGTCCACATCTTTCCGCCATGTTGATTGTGAAGACGCACGCAGAGTTATGGACGTAAACGATAGTTTCGAAATATTTTCTTTATCCTCTAATCGTTACAATAACGTTAATAAAACTTTAAGAATATTTTCTTTTATATTAATATAAACAAAAAGTACGATTTATAAAAATGAGACGCATTTGAACGGTACTGTGGACCGGAATCACTGTATAACCCACCGCTCATACCCCTCATTCTAGACGTCCACCCCAACGTATCCTGACGAGGTGCAGTATTTTTTATTGCGTAATTACAAAGCTCAAGACCTTAACTGTTNCTTTATCCTCTAATCGTTACAATAACGTTAATAAAACTTTAAGAATATTTTCTTTTATATTAATATAAACAAAAAGTACGATTTATAAAAATGAGACGCATTTGAACGGTACTGTGGACCGGAATCACTGTATAACCCACCGCTCATACCCCTCATTCTAGACGTCCACCCCAACGTATCCTGACGAGGTGCAGTATTTTTTATTGCGTAATTACAAAGCTCAAGACCTTAACTGTTCAAAAATTGCCTTATTTTATTCATATTCGACGCCGTGTTAGGCTAAATTTGCCAATCGGCGAGTGTTCATTTTTGACCTTGATTTTGTACCCTCTTTTCACGGGCCAAATTCGTTACTATAGCAACGTGATTGACATTTTAGTCACACATCATCCGAAAGGTCTTGGCATGGACCCTTAGAAAAAGGGAATAGTTAAAGCTGAAATGTTAAATCCTTCATGGAATTCTCAAGCAAACTTCCACTACTTTTGTTACGATATTTTGTGTAGTCAGGACCCCCAAATTTCAGATGGCAATATCTATTTTTTCCAGAATTTTCAGAATTTTTTAAAAGTGTGTTTTCAACATCTTTTGTAACAGTTATCAAACACAGAAAATTTGGGTTGAATCTGTTGACCCCCACCTTGCCGCTATTTGGTTGATTCTCTCGTGAAATGGCACTTAATTCAATGATTAATAATGAGAATTGCACTTTCTTGGTGGAGTAATGTACCCATGAGTACTTAACTAATGATACTATATTTTTATTAACAGGTAACAAGTAAGACGACGGTAGAGGAACAGATAGCAGAAATGAAGGAGTGGTTCAAAGCCTTCCGTGATCAGAAAAGTTATGTGCGGGACTACAGGAAGTACTTCAAGCCTGTCATGTGTTATTTGGAGGGCACGTGGACCAAGATAAGCCCAGACGGTAAAGAAAATATATCCAAAATTAATAAGTACAATACTTAATTAATTAATCTCTTAATATTTACTTTATTTATTTTATTTTATTTATTTATCAGCTTCAGTAGGCGTGACAGACATCTCAGCCGCTTAAGTTATTTGCAATTACGCGAGAATTACCTTGAAGATAATTCAATCTAAAGTTAGTACGATAGAATCTGAGAATGGTCTCTTCACCGTAACCCTTTCTCGCCACCAATAGGTAAACTGGAGGAGTCCTTCCAAAGCGACCGTCACGCTCTTGACGCGACCGACTGGGCTGACCTTCACCAGAAGACCCGTTTCACCTCCTACTCGGGCCGAAAGAGCCAGCTGGAGAATTTCGCCTTTCTTCCTGTGGCCGTGATGAACATCACAGACGGCATTCCTAAGATGGCGCAGTGGAACTACCGGATACTGTGTCACCCGATCAGCAAAGACATCAGCACCGCGGTCTTCAGGGTGCGTGATGACATAGGGTCCAGGCTGGCCTACCAGAGCGATTTTGAGACGCATTCGAAGACGCGCAGGGCAAGGTTGGTTGACTGGAGAGATTGGGGGTTGAAAGAAAGTGAAGATGAGTGATTGTGGTTGGGTGAATGAGAGTTTTTAGGTGGCTGAGACTAAGGTGAAAATACAGTATAAAGTACATGCAAGATGGACGTGGATGTGGATAGTTGAAATGGCTGCAAAGTAGAAAAGCCGAACCTCCCCCTTGGCGTGTGATTCGGGGCCCGATGAAGGGTGGGCGCACCGCCCACTCACGGCGAAATCGGAAGCGTGCACGGCTGTTAAAAAAATTATCGGCGGAATTATTTGCCTTTTTTTCTGGTCACAGTTGCATGAATGGAAAACGCACCGGTTTTAACGCATTTGAACGTTTTTTAATGTAAAAACGCTCAGTGCCATCTTCTCAAACAAGGTCTTGTGTACATCATAAACTTCAACGTTCAATAATAAGACAATATTCCGGGACTGGCGTTGTGCGGGATGAAATACTTTTGTACGACTCAAAGACTATCGATTGTAATTACAGACATACACCTGTGCATCCTCTCTGGACCTCTCCGTGACAAAGTAGAAAGTTTGCATCTGATCTGCAATCCGTCAACGAAGCTTCCGCGGCTCCGTGGTAACTCCGCTGCCTTGGTCACAGCTAGACTTTCTTGCGCGGGTTCGAATTCTAGAAGGTCCAGCGTACTTATCGTTGCTCGAAATCGTTTCTATAAGTCTTTTTTTTTTATTACTATAAGAGGAAACTCGTACCTACGGAGGGTGGGCGGGTCCCTCACGGTGCAATCGGTAGTGCACGGCTGCTAATAAACCAAGCCAATCAACTTCCATGGTAACGGAGAGTTAGAGTTCGAATCCCGGATGAGGCATGTCACCTCCCCACAGATACGAGCTGGCCCCGGGATCGGGAAGGCGCCTTGTCTATTTCCACGGGCTGGTTTATCCTTGAAGAAACAATGCAAACACAATGAAATAGCAAAAGGTGTAAAAGAAAGTAGAGCAATTTTAATTTAATTAAATTTAATATTAAAATACAGTAACAAATAAAGAAATAGATAGATAGATAAACGCAGAACTATGCTCAAAGGCTGCAGTCAGAACAGTAGACTAAATAGTCCGCGGGGTAAGTATGGCGACCCACTAAAAAGGTTGTCTAATACCCTTATAGATACTGAATAGATTCCCTGTGGGGAAGTATTCAAATGGCCCTGTTCTGAATACGGCCATAGTTTTCATGTCATGATTCGCCTTGGTATTCAGAGAAAAAAATCATGTCAGCTGTTGATGGAATCGAAGCTTGATACGGGGCTATTCTTCTTATCTATTCTTCTTATCTTATCTATCTTATCTATACCTACCGTGTATATTCTACATGGCAGACGACGATGTACTGAAGCTGCTGTTATTTACACACTGCGTATTTTAAAATGGTGTTGTCGGATGTTTTATGTCTATCGAAAAGAGACTGCAATTTATTAATTATTGCATGGCTTTAACCGACGACTAAGCAAAGCTTCGATGTTACTTCGTGACCTGAGCAATATTATGTCGTCGACGTGGACAATTAATATTTCCATACAAATACCCATTCTTTTAGGTTCCAATTAAACCCGGACAACTCCAAATTCTGGCCGGATGAGCACCTGTTCGTCCGCGGGCTGACCGGTCTCCTGGACCAGATCATGGAAGAGATACCCGGCAAGAATAACTACCCTGCTTATCTGGAAGATAACATATTCGACGAGCCATTTTACCGACTGGAGCCTCTGGAGAACGGCACGGAAGTGATGCTGAACGCCGCCAGGTACCATCGGTGGTATCAAGTTATTAAAGCGGTAAGGGGGTACTGTTTATATGCTGTATTATGCCCGCCCCAACGCTACTGGAAAGAAACTATTCACAAATAAACTATCGGTTTATGTACCTCGATCCAACTCCTCAAAAATTCTTGCTGAATGCAATCAGTTTAACGTTCTCGTAAAATCACTAGCTTTTCTGCTCAACGCCAGGAGGAAGCGTGTTAATCCGTTAACCTGTTTGCATTCCACGAGAGTCGCCGTGGAGTTGGATTGATCTACGTAGACCGATAGTTTCATTGGGAATGAGCCCTTATTAAGTGATTTTATGGAAAACGTTATTTTAGGATTCATCTCAGGTTGGGACCGCAAAGACGGTTCGTCATTGAATCTTACCATAATTAATGTAAATTACTGTTTCTGGAACAATAATTCAGTTACATTCTTCTTCTATTCTTCGATATTCTGCCAGGGTGCCAGCGGCCGGAAATCTCGTCATCGCAGCTATTCGGATGCCAATGTATTCATGGCCATGACAGATAAAGACGAGGTCGTCGGTATGACGTTTAAGAAGTGTAACCAGAACGGCAGAGGTAGGTGGTTCACGTGAGAAGTCTTGCAGCAATGGCCGGTGTAAATGGTTTAGGGGAATATTAATGTTAATAATTAACCCGTTTCGCACCTGCGGCAATGGCAGGTAGGGCGTATGACTTGGCACCTGTTTTACAATCTTTTCCCTAAAAATTGTCTCAATGCCCAGACCAAAAACTTGCTCTACTTCACTTCACGATATATTTCTGCGTGGTGGGTGATGGATATGGGCCTGTGGCCTACCTTTGGAGATCATAGCTATATAATGTTTTTATCATATTTAACGGCAAACGTACTGACTCAATCCTTCCCGTTTTCTTCTTTTTTTCAGATTGTAAATGGGCTGATCAAAAATGGTCGTATGCCATACCTTTGGAAATCATTTATTTGACACCGCTGAGCTTGTGGAACCCCTACAACCTTAAAAACTGGGGAAAAGACCCGGATAAAATGGTGGTCAGGGCGGAAGACGGTGGGTGGCAATGGTGTTATTATAAAATAAAACTATAAAATAATTGCATTATTGGTGGTGCAGGTTTCTCATTGCCTCTTTGTAAATGATGGCAAAAAAGTAAGTAATTCCAGAGGAAACTAAATGGCTTCTTGTCTATGAGGCATGCTTAACCCAAGATTAATCTTGTCTTGATCACGTGACTGACTAGTCGCTATCGATGGCACTCAACTTCCTGAGCTTTCTTTGACAACTCAGTCTCTTAGCATTATATACGTAGCTTGATCATGCCCTAATGCGTTGTTTCGTATTTAAATCGTATTTAAATCTAGCTTCAAAATGCCGATTATCAATAGCAAAATATGAAACATCACATATGTTATGGAAGAAAGGGTCTCATACTGCGAAATCAAGATTGGTTTGGAAGTTTTAGTACATAATGTAAACGTTTGACAAAATGCATTTCCTGTTTGGAGCTTATAATACATATGAGATTATGATGAGCATTTTAAGTCAATCGCTGTTGTTCCTTCGTCACAATGCCATTTATCAGAATGTAAACTCTATTTAGATACCGTTTTAATTGATAACTGAACATGGTAAGCCTGAAATTTATATTATATTATATTATATTATATTATATTATATTATATTATATTATATATTACTTAATGCAATTATATGACAGTATACAGCAGGGCACAAAGGACATCATACAAGTAAGCGACTTTATAAAATGTAATGTGTGGCTAAACTCTCTGAGCAGGAACGCTTAGGACGGGCGCTCAGACAGTGGAGAAGGCATACAATGGCGTCAACGAATACACGTACTATCTGACGCCGAATGAGTTCTTCGCCTCCCAGGAAGCCGGAGCAGCGGACACCACTAGGAAAGGGGTGGGAGTCCTCGACCAAAACGGTACGAGAAATCTTTTTTGTTTTTAATTCTCCGTTTTTGTGACTGAAAAAAGGTCCTTGTCATTGTTATATACATATTAACATATTAATGCAGAGCTTTGAAAAAAATACGTACAGTAGATGGCGTAAGTTTCTGTTCTACCCTCTTTTACTTAATTTATCAGCCATCGCCATTGCTTGCAGCAACTGCAACCTGTAGAAATTGTCAGACCCGCAGCACCATTAATGCGGTTATTATTTCATTAATTAATTATTTCTTAGCGGCATTGATATTCATAGTATTGATGCTCATTAATGTGTTCCAGCAACAACACGCCTTGTACATATTTCAAGTGTTACCTAAATCATACTGTCCAGTTTTATCGCTCAGTCGCTATTTACATGAATAAATTGCATTAAAACTATATTTACTAAACTTACAGTATATACATGTATAATACCAGGTACTAAGTTGATGACGTTGCGCCGTCCTCCATCTGCATTATTAGCAGACCGTGCAATGTATTTCTCCAATAGGGAGATGCAACGTCATTAACTGTGATGATGGATAATTCCAATAAGAAATTTCAAAATGTTTCTTCATATTACCCGAAAATGTTCTTTTTGCCATTTTAGGTGAGGTAAAAATCACCAGCTCCTCAGGTATTCGTGTATTTATCAATATTCCGGATGTGGGACTGATACGCCAACGGTACCCCATCTATCCTTTGACAACCGACGGAAGTAATATACAAAAGGAAGTGGAGGCAATGAAGGTAGAAATTCATTTTTACCTGTGACAATACCAAGCATGTCTTTATGTGTACACTTTAGTTTTGTTCTTCTTCTAACATTTTGCGAACCGAGGTTTTTTTTAGGTGGTTAACTAAACTTATCTCTTTTCTTTAAAATGTTCTTGCAAATTCTTCTGTCGTATTCTCAAAACAATTTATTTAAATAAAATAAAATAGGTTATGCATTTTCTTAATGTCTTTTTTTTTCTACAAAACACTAGAAATACATTACATAAAATTGTTTAAAATCAGCAATTCTTTAAAACGTCTACAAATCTTGCATCGCAGTATGCGAGTTATGACGTCATCAACATATACTTATGTGTCGATAAAAGTAGCGATATTTACTAATATGTCAGGGTTGAAAGCTGCATCACGTGAACAATAGTGACCTACATTCCAGGACCTGCTGATGGAGCAAAGCCGTTACATCAAAATGTACCGAGATCCGCCGCAAGGGGGCGGCACGACTACCGTGCCAGTGGAAGGAACAGACCTGTTGCTGACGACTTCTACAACTACCCAGAATCCTCCAGGGGAACATTTCCACGAGTAAATAATAATAATAATAATAATCCGATGCCTTGGATCTAAATGGAAAGCAAATCAACAAACTCATTGATTGTAATGAACCAGGAATTAATGCTTTTCCACCCTAAAGCTTAGTTATGTATTTTAGCTGCAATTTCATGTCAACTCCACGTGACTATTTGTTGCAGATAGATCTGAAAATTTATTTCTTTCTTAACGTTTTGAATCGTTGATTGTTGCAGTTGATCAAATAATGTTGATAAAGCTAATATTTCCTTTCTTTACTCTTTTATTTCTTTCTAACCAATCCATCTTTTATATTAAATAGTTTATCTAATTTCATAGTACTTATTTGTCCATTTCCAATTCCACTCACAAATCCCACCCTTCCGTCTATTCAGAGTTGTGCTGAGCCCAGAGGAACAGGCGAGGTTCGAGGCTGGGGAGATGTTTACTGTGACAACAAGTGAGGCTCTGGGCCACTCCCACTCCCTGAGACTGCGCTATGATAAATACTGCGGCTGCTACGAGATAATGAGGTAGGTATGCAGGGTCAGTTTTTTTTATGAGGCGAGTAGGAAGCAAAATTCAAGATTTTTTCTGGAATTTGGTGGTGGTGGCGGTGGTCTACGTATGTATGAGATCTAGAGCGTGTGTATGGGGTTAACCATTCAGAAAAAAAGCGATAGGATATGTTGTCCCCCTCCACCCCCCTCTATCCCCCCCCACACACACACACACATTAAAACCCCGCTTTCTGTGGTAATATGAAATACATGAATGAAAAAAGTAGAAGCTGAGAAAGCCAACTGGAAATATGTGTGCTGAGTAGGACCTATGTAATAATGTATTCATTTGTTTTATACTTTACGGCCAACAAATATCGCTGTAAGATTAATTAGTTCTCAATGAATATGTTACCATTGTTATATGAGTTTATAAAAAGAAACTTCGTTCCAGGTGTGACCAGCAACCTGAATGCTGGGATGGTCACATGATGGAGCTGTTCCAAGAAGTATGACGTGACTCTCGTGATATGCGACTGCTGGCAGCGACATCTACAGATGTGCAATGTGTTTTTGATGGAAGCCTAAATGGGGATAAGGTCCCTCTACGAGTATATCCGATATATAGAGTTTATATATTCAGAACTGTCTTTTTGAAATTTGATTTTGAATTTTCATCATTTTGTGAACTGAAAGGTACCTGGAGCTGCATCACTAAATGTGATACAGCAAATAAAACCAAGGGGAACTGTATTGGCACCACAATATTTTCTTGAATAAAACATTGATTTGAATGACAGGTGATTTTTGGTTATTCATTCGCCTCACGGCTGACACTATCAACCTTTGTCATTTTCATCACTAGGGCCTACCCTGGAAAAAAAGAAATCGAAGCGGAATCCAATACAAACTAATTCTACTAAGGTGAAGTTCTGTTCGCTCAATAAATTCCTTTTCGAGACAACAAATTCCCATTACATCTCCGCATCAGTCTTAATTAACCCTGACCTGGAATAGGTTAGATTATCGTTACCAAGGAGAATACACCTTATATAGACCTCATCTCTGATCTTGAAATTAGTCAAAAATAGGACTATATGTATACTGGTAACTACCGGTACATGTAGGACTACAAGCTTTATACCGAAGGAGATAGTTCAATCTAACCTACCAGGATTATCCTATCTAAACATTTAGCCGGTGTAACGTGACAGAGAGCCCCCCATGATACAGAGTCCGCTTCCCATTTAGTTGTACCGGCAAGCCTCGCCCTAGATTTTAACCCACTTAGGTCAGGCTAACCCTAACCATTATAACTATATGGAGGGCGGACTTCCTGTTACACGGACCCTCAGTTTCATTACACCGGATCACGATCCGCAAAAATAGACCCCTTATTACATTTTAACATTTTGTTTACTTGCCTAAAGATTTCCAAGTCCAGTGCCTTAAATGCTGTGCACAGTAAAGAGGGAATAATGAAGGAATCCCATGCTGTAACTTAAATATTATGTGTTTACTATTCTAGATACAGACGCTATAGTGCAATGAATGTTCAGTCGACAACCCCCATAATTTTATACGTTACTTTATCAATTCAGGAAAACCATTAAACAATATCAACATCTGAATGGTTTCTTATGGGGGTATGCGCGATGTGGTAAATGTTTTTCTTTTACTGGTTTCATAAACATGACTTAAGAACAAGAAAGTCCAAAGTTCTTACAAAGAGAACGCAGGTAAACCAATTGATTGACAGTAAAATTGCGCGGCTTAAGTGAAACCCGCGGGCGACGGGTTTCAAAATTATAAGTGTTACATAGATAAAATAATTGTACAAAAGGACAAAGTATGGCAAACTTACTGCATATCATGTTCACCAGTTTGTGAGGGGATCGGGGATGTCTTCATGGTCGGGAACGCTCAGAAAGTTTCTGAAAATTTCTAAAATCCGTATAACAGAGGCATCCTTTAAAGTTGTTGTTAGGCCTATTGTACATATGTGTCTTCGCTGAATATATTTGATGATACGCGAATGGCGATCAGTCAGATTGCCAGTGCGACAGACGTGGTTTTTCGCTAGGGTTGTTCAGGCACCATTGCTTTTCATCAAAAGTTACGTTGGTCGATTTTTACCGAGGAAGGCCCATGAAAAGAGTCAAGGCGTGCTCAACATAACTGTGTGCCTACCATTAACTGCGAATCACGGGAAGGAGAAAGTGAACAGATAATCAGGTAAACGGGTATGTATATTACTCACACGGGACGTGATTTGTGGGGTTTTAACGTATGAAACTGAACGGAAGAGAGAAAAGGAGAGAAAGAGGCTGAGAAAGAAGACGAAGACTGAGTCAGCGAACATGGCGGTAGGTCTACCGGTGATGGGACGAGACAGTTTTTGCTTGGCAAAGGCGTTTGTGTCCATATTTTTAGTAGGGAGGGTCAATGCAATGAGCACTGTTCAACAAGCTAGCAATGTGTTTGAAAACAGTTAGGCTATCTCAAGAACCCAAACATCCTGTCAACTTTACAAAGTTGACGAATGTTTTCATGTAAAAACAGTTCCATCCTTTTGATATAAATACCAAATTGGCATTGTTCTGAAAAATACCAAACATTGTGTTCATGGAGGATAATTCCCATCTGTTTGGTCAGTGTAAATAAAAAGGGAAGTCTTTATAACTAAAGACACATCTTTCTTTTATACTCAGATTCTGCCTTATTTATACCTACATACAAGATGTAAGTCGGAAAACAAAGGCATACAGGGTACAAGGCGTAGGTCTGTTTTTTGTTTTTGTTTGTTTGTTTGTTTGTTTTTCTTTTCCGAACACTTTCACTGGACACAGCACAGAAAAGTGCATGAAAAATCAGAGAAAATATGTGAATATGAAGGAGAAAAAGGAATTCCCTGTGGCCTTTGTAGAGGGAAATATTGGGTTTTGTCTAACGCAGCCTGAGGTCTTTTTACTGTCACGATTCTCCTTCCTTTTAGAATCATCATTTTTTATTACGACACTGTAACTTACATTCCTATAAGTCTTTGCTACAGGGTATATGATTTACGAATTTTTAACGTATGTTTGGGGCGTCTCATGCACCTATTTCTATGTGGGGGGGAAAATGGGCTCATTTTCAATGAAATTATATATTATCCAAATCCGCGGGGACTCCCGGATAACGATTTCAGGAGCATCATTTTGAGAAATGGGAGAAGTTAAACACGTTAATTTCCAAATGCAGATTTGATTCGCGCGACGTTGTTTAGATTTATAAAATGCAGCAGAACATTGGTTATTTCGAGTTTTTATCAATCTGTTCGTCAATTCTTTAGTCCTTCAGTTACTTAAATATGCGTCGGGATATTGGTTATAAATGTTATTTATTCACCAATATCTCCATTATTTCATTCTGGTACCCAACCTTGGTCATTTACACTTGCGGTCCTCGAAAAACTATAAGCCCGCATCAAAATTTAACTTGTTCAGAAATGTAATCTGCACTAAATGGCAAAATGTCCTAAGAAACCGCAGGTAAAATTTGCATTAATCTGATAGGACTACTGGTACATGTATCAACTTGCCGATGAATCAGATACCAAATCTGCTACGAAGTAGTAAATTGCATTGAACCTGCGACTTAAACACTGTACCTTGTGGATTAAGTGTGCACACAGTTATTAACAAGCTGAAATTTCGGTTCTGTTTAAATTTCAGATATTTAAAAAGATGCATTCAGATTTATATTTAATTCTCCTGGCTTCTTGGAACATCCTGGGAGTCACCGTGGCCGACAAAGATTCAGAGACGATACGGCAACTCCAAGGCACGGTGGCAGCCTTGGGCAGGCAACTTATCATGCAGCAGCTGTTTGTTGAGGAAAGAATACGGTCTGAGGGGAGCTCGGGGATAAAACAGATCAGACTTCAGACGGACGGTGAGTTTTTATACATTTACCCCAACAGTGGCGGATTAAGAGGGGGTGGGGGTCAGGGGGACCCTGAACCTCCCCCCCCCCCCTTCGATTTCTTGTCCCCTCTTGAAATTATATTTTCCTAGCTGAATCATAGTTCTAAACCGTACCAAATGGCACCGCTGGCCCTCTAAAATACCAAACTTTTTCCGGGCCTTTCAGCGAGCCCCGAACCCCACGGCAAGAGGGAGGGGGGAGATCGGCTTTGCATGCGCGGACCCCCCCCCCCTTCAAATAACCCTGGATCCGCCCATGGAATGTGACGTGACTCTCCCCTGTAAATAAACTTGTTCACTTGAGAAAATTTTTTCGCAAGTTAATTGGTCTGATCGGTGGTTTGTTTGTTATTTCGGTGAGTTATGATGTGAAAAGGCAAAATACAGGAGAGTTTAAATCAGAGCCAGTAGAGAAATTTACGCTAAAACGTTATCGATGCTGGGTGCCCTTATAAACGACTGAAGTCAGCTTTGATAGAATCATTGGGCATATCTAATGACGAATTAAGGTTTAAGTATCCACTTTCTGTTTCCATAAACCCGTATCAGCTTAGAGAATCATTTGTACAGTGTAGGGGCTGCGCAAAACTTAATTGTTAATAAAGACAAACCAATGTCAAATGTACAATATCAAATCATTCCCCGTTGATTCCTCTAAGAGACCAGTAAACGGGCGGTTTAATTTTGGCTTGATAATTGGTTGAAAGTATTGTTCGGTTCAAAACCAAACGTTTAATGATGTGATTCATCTGTATTTCAGTGTCAAAAGTTTAATGACATAGCTTACATTTATATTTCTGTAGGCCCATATATATTGTTAGTAGCTGTAATTGCGTTCGGTCACCAGTTCGGCATCGTTTATTAGGACTCCTGGCAAAAAGTGGTTCCTCTTAATATCAGTAATATTAAACCAAAAACATTATCCATAACATAAAATTGAATTACAGTGACTGAGATCTTTTCGCCGGTCGTATGCCATTTTTTTTCCTTTTTTCACAAATTTTGGTATGGTCACCATGCTCTCGTGACCGTCTCTCTCTCTCTCTCTCTCTCTCTCTCTCTCGTCACTACATGGAGTAGAATTACTACTCGTTAGTGCCAATTCATGTTTAATTGTCACAAAAAAATATATCATCTGCAGCGCAGCCAAGCAGGTCTGTAAGTTGTAAATTCATTCTTCTTTTGTTCCTCTTCTTCTTCTTCGTCTGACTTTTTGCAAAGGGACAATTTCCAACGCAGCCTCCGTTAGGCCCGGACTTTTTAAGCTTAAAAGTTTGTCTCTCTCTAGGCACGCGGCCGTACCACTCCACGACGTACACCGGCAACAGCGCCGTCAGTATTCATAACCATGCTAACTACGACCGCACCATAGGGATGGGAGAGTTCGCCGCCGTCTTGAACGGGGTGGAGTTCCGGACCAGACATAACGATTACAAGTTCGTCATGCCATGTCGGAGAAGCAAAGATTTTCACTGCACGGAGGATATCCCTTTCCCCGATGTGCCACCAGAGGTTCTGTTGGCATCGTTTTCTGATATTATTTTCCAAGAACTTTAATGTCAGTTCAAATGTGCAAAATTATAATGGGCATAGTACAGAAGCCTTAGTCCTATCAATCTATTATTTTAGCTTTATTCCTCTGTCAGTTCATTTATTCTTTTGTGTCATTTTTTGCCTATTCTTTGTATATATGTTTATTCATTTATCTATCTATTTGTTATTATTATTATTATTCATTGCTTATTCGTTGTTTAATTACCAACCATATATTAATTAAGGTAAGGAATAAAGGTACGATAGAGGAACAGATAGCGGAGATGAAGGAGTGGTTTAGAGCCTGGAAAAATCAAGACAAATCTCACAGAGATTACACTAAATACTTCAAAGCCAACCTTTGTTACTTAGAGGGAGCCTGGATGAAAAGTTCAGGTAACAAAGCTATCATTTTATAATAAAATTTTTTGATTCTGTCATTTCATTAATTTCCATAAGGCATCATTAAGTACAGTATTTGAATATGAATTTAATCCCGAATCATTTTTTTAAAAATTCCCTGGAAAATAATTTCATAGATTATTGCATACTATATCCAATCAGTGGCGAAATTAGTTCACTAGGTTACATGTAGCATTTATTCAATTAGATCAATTTTAACTGGTTTCATAAAAATCTGAAAGTGTTTTCATTTTATAAAACATACCCCTTTAGCATCTTTAGAAGAATCCTTTGACAGTGACCGCCACTTTTTGGACGCCACGGACTGGTTTGACCTGCACGAGAAGGCTCGCTTCAGCGCGTACTCTGGTCGCAAGGACAACCTTGAGAACTTTGCCTATCTTCCCGTCACCATTTCCGGTCTCATCAACGGCACGATTCCCGAGCTTGCGCAGTGGAACTACCGGATATTATGTCATCCTCTGAAGCAGGACATACCGTTCAGCCACTTTCGGACCGTGGACGACCTTCATTCCAGAATGGCCTACAAATCCAACATGGCTGAACTAACTGGGTCGCGAAGGGCAAGGTAGGCGTAGATATATTTCGATAACTCAATTTAACATTGGATTTTTAAAACAATTAATAATTTCTGAATGTCAGACTTGGTTTTCTAGCTATGTGATTGTTATGATGGTCATCATTTTAATTTTTTATATCCGATTTAAGTGACAAGAAATTCTTGCAGTGAAGTGATGGCAGTGCTGCGAACGTTCTGGTTTTGGAGATATTCAAAGCTTTCAAATAGTTCATTTTTAATATCACTACATCTTCCGTCAGACAACATTAATTTAATATCTTCAGATTCCAGCTTAACCCAGAAAACAAAGCAAACTGGGGCGAAGAGCACGTGTATGCTCACAGCTTTCTAGATGACCTGATGGAACAGGTGCCCGGAAAAGACAATTACGTCGCAAACTTGACGGACGACATCTTTGGTGACACGGCCTTAATGTTAGACCAGGGCGAAAGAGACAACGACGTCTTGAATGCCGGTTACTATCATCGCTGGTTTAAAGTGGCGAAAAAGGTTTGTTACGTTATATTTGGGATTGACGATATTTATTTACTATCTTGTTTTTATTCTTTTCTACTAAAATGCATAAGCTACTCTTGAGGTGTACGTCTTGCTCTTTGGGTTTTGAACTTTCCTTAGAAAGGGTTGGAACGTTGGGTACTTTATGTAGAAAAAAAAGATGTTTGGCGAGACCAAGTTTTGTTGCGACATGACATCAAGGTCGATCAAGATGCATGCGTTCACCATTAGAAGCATTTAAAATGTGTCTCTCTGGTAGAATTATAGGGGTTTAAACCAAAATAAATAATGAAAAATACAAATAAATATTTCTTCTCACAGGGCGCAAACGGCCTCAAGAGGTTACATCGAGGCTTCTCGGATCAGAACATTTTCATGGCTATGACGTCACAGGAGAAGATTGCTGGCCTAGGGATTGAAGAATGCCTTAAAAAGCGATCCAAGAAGCAAGGTTAGCTGTGAATTATATTTTTCTTACATCATGATAAAGATTGTTAATAACTACGGCGATTTGCGCAACTTTGAAGAAGAGGCAGTGATTATTCAGATTCAGATTCTTTTGCTTTTTTGCTTTTATTTGCTTTAACTAGCAAACGGCACCACTAGCTATACAATTATTGTATGAGAAAGTAAATTTGCGTTTATATTTTTCGAACACCCGGCAAATATTCACACCTGTTGGTGTAAGACACTCGTCATATACAATGGCAGATTTAAGATACCCTGTGTTTGGGGTCGTTTTTTACACACCACCAATACCGTCACCGCAAGTCTCAGATACCATGCAGTGTTATTATCAAACTTGCAAGCCCCACCCCCACCCACCCAGGGCCCTACCCCAAAAATCTGATTTCTGTTGCAGTATGTGAGAGGGTAGAACAGAAGTGGACCTATTCTATCCCCCTGGAGATCGTGTATTCAACGCCTCTGAGTTCCTGGAACCCTTACAACCTGCACTTCAAAGGAGACGCCAAGTCCGACCTTGGGAAGACTGTGAAAGAGGGGCCAGACGGTAAGAATCGCGGATTTAGAGAGGTGTCTGGTGGATTTTGGTCAGACCTTGCATTAAAAACCGTGAACCAATTTATTCAGTATACTGAAAGTCTGAAACTTCAGATATGACTCCATTTTAAATGGCCGTTGCGCTGTGAAGACCACAAGTTCCTCTTTTTCTTTGTGTATATAGACTACGATTTTAAAGAACATATATGCACATTTTTATCAAAAGAGATAAGCATATTTATGCCCCACAAAGTTAGCAATAGTACATTTTAATACATGTAGCTACATCACCAATTAACTATGTTAATTTCATTTGCCCTCCTCCCCCTTCAAAAGGATCTGTCCGTAATGGAAAGAAGGAAGCCAACTTGGCATTTGATGGTACCAACAATGCCCTATACTACCACACTCCGGTGGAAATGTTCTTTACCAACGGGGACAAGGACGCTGCAGACACCGTGAGATATGGAGGCGTTGGAGTCTTGGACAGACAAGGTACAGTGATGATAAAAGCTACAGTTACGCGTAAAAGTCTTCTTTTTATGTACTAGTGTTTTTTTTTTTTTTTTTTCAATATTTGAAGGTTAAATGTTACGCCATGAGAAAGATTCGCGTCGGAGTCCTGGACAGACAAGGTACAGTAATGATAAGAATTACAGTTACACTTTATTAATTGAGTTGATTGAAACGCCATGAGATATCTGGCCTGTAGGTCCTGGGCACACAATGTGTTGTAGTATAAGTAGGCCTACATGTATTATTATAACCACAGTAGAGTTTATATTAAGATGCTTTTTTTCATAAAAAAAAGTACAGTCAAAACGCACCATCGATATAATGTCTTTAGGTACTGTTATCTATCTATCTATCTATCTATTTGTCTGTCTGTCTGTCTGTCTGTATCTGTCTGTCTGTTTCTATCTATCTATATTACGTGTTCTAGGGGAAGTGAGATCACTAGACGCATCTGGTTTCCGAATTGAACTTAACATAGATGGCGTTGGTGAAATTCGTCAGCGATGGCCCATAATGCCCGTGTCGGTAGAGGGCAGCACCATCATGAAGGAAATTGAAGCTCTGACGGTATGAAAAAGGGTACTCTTTCTATCTTTGTCTTATTGAAACATTTATTTTTTTTTCGGAAGAATGATAAAAGCGAATACGCTGTATATATGAACCTCTTGTATGCATTTTTAAATTTTGCTCTAAAATTAATACTGAATAATAATAATACTTGCAACCCATGTGTTGGATCTCATTCAGAACAGTGGACTAACAGATCCGCAGATCAAATATGGCCGACCCACTTGAATTCTTGTTGCGTAAACACCGAGGGGAATCTATTCAGTGTCTAGGCAGGAATTAAGTGGCAAACCTTTTTAATGGGTCGCCATATTTGATCCGCGGCTATGTTATTCCGCTGTTCTGAATGCAGCCTTAGAGTTTAGATATACGTGCACATGCGCACACACAGTTATCTCGAATATCACTCAAAACATTTCCACCCTCAGGACATGGTCATGGAGCAGCGGAAATACATCGACTTGTATCGCCAGAAGCCTCTAGCCGCCCTGGATGGCGACAATTCTACCTTTCAACGAGACATAGTGATGGAGACGACGGCCGCCACGGAGGATCCGCCTGGATATCATACCCACATGTTAATGACCTTTTATCATTCGTCCATTTAATTAATATAAATAACTCCTATACTGGAACTTACAATGTACATTTAGCAGCTGACAGACTTTGTGGTATGAACCTGAGAACTTTCACTAGGTAAATGCTGTCGGTCAGTTGCTAAATATACAAGTTCCACATATCGGTGTTTTTCATATTTATTCATTCTTATTCTAACAACATTCACACATTTATTCGGCCATTTATTTATCATTCATCACGTATTTGTTTATTAATAAGAAAGATACTTTATTTGGAATCTATAGCCTAAAAATTGGATTGATTTTATTTTCATTGATTTAATTATTTTACCGTGGTATCGTAGAGCCAATGTTACCGATACACAGTCACGTTCCATTCTACCCATGTTGATCCAACGCGCAGCCATACCCGCTTATCTTTTTTAGTAAAACTGAGGTTTCAGCGATGCCATAGCAAGTATAATGCACTACAGGAAAGTAATTGACGCTGTTGCTCTTCTTTTTCCAGTCGGATAGAAAATATAATTGATAAAATACAAAATTAATAATTTTTTTCAGAGTTCGACTGACACCAGACCAAGTCAAAGCAACGAAAGAAGAGGGACAACAAGTCAAAGTCACGACGTCAACCGACATGGGACATTTTCACGAACTGCGGGTTAAATACGCCAAGCGTTGTAACTGTTTCCTTATTGTTAAGTAAGTAACAGTTCTTTAATTGTAAGATGTAAATGTTAACTACTAGTATTTTTCATACAGCAACAAATTTTTGTCAGCTTACTGTCTGAACCAAGATTTTATTTTGCTCATGCCTTGTACTAACTAATCTATAACTTCTTCCCGTGGCGGCAGTTGTTTTGTAGCTAATCTTTCACTGGTTCGTATTGTGTTAGGTGTGACAGTTATGTTGGAACTCATTTATATCTTGTTTTCATTGTGTTAGGTGTGACAGTTATGTTTGAACTTGCCTTTAGCTTGTTCTCCTTGTGTTAGGTGAGAAAGTGTGTCATAAAAATGTTATAACTAGCTTCATTGTGTTAGGTGTGACAGCTGTGTTAGAACTCATTTATATCTTGTTTTCATTGTGTTAGGTCTGACAGTTGTGTTAGAACTCATTTATATCTTGTTTTCATTGTGTTAGGTGTGACAGCTGTGTTGGAACCAATTTACATCTTGTTGTCATTGTGTTAGGCGTGAAAGCTGTGTTAGAACTAATTTATATCTTGTTCTCTTTGTAGGTGTGACCAGACCAGGGGTCACTGTCGGGATGGACACACGGCAACCCTTACACCAACAACTAAATAACAGAGATTGCAGAAGTTTTCCTTTGGAAAATAAATCCGTCGAAGATACTTCCATTATCTTGAACAAAAAACCAAGTATAATCAGTTCTTGATTTCACAGGGAGGAATTATTGACATTTCCAATTTTTTTGTCAAAATAGTAGTCGACTTTATCAATTACTCAGTTACTGTAACTTATTAATTTAATGCCGCTTATTTAGTTTTAGCTGCGTTTTTGTAACATGCTTTGACAGCTTTTCATTAGCAAATCGAATTCCTTGACAGAAGAAAATGTTATGTGAGGAAAATTCCACACAAACAGATTTTTCATTATCTTGAATAAAATCTGCAAAAACGGTGTCAGTATTTCTTTCATATTTTATTCATCCTTTTTTTTTTTTTTTTTTTTTGCTTCTTACAGCTTGTCCACGGGTTATGGCACACATTTTGTGAAATGTTATTTCTTTAACTGTTTTTCCAATTACTGTTGATTTATTTCCTTATTGGCGAACACTATATAGTATATATTGTAAATAAAATGTGTGCGTCACTCACGTGACTGGGTTGTTCTTTTTTCATGGAATGGCCCCTATTTTGCTCTTGAATTTGTCATCGTTATTAGCTGAATATACACTTAAAAGTTTGCAACTGAGCGCCCGAGTGGAGTCAACAAGAGCGTCGGCAGGTGGAGGTATAAATTGTCCTCATCTGTTTCACCTCCCACCTTCCACCGCCATGATACAAACCCAGGGGTCTGGGGATCTAGAATGACACCCCTGGGCAAAGGGGGAGGGGGCGGAAAGGTTGAACCTTCTCCATTGTAAATGTCCCGATTTCTTGAGTTGAAATCCTCATTGTTTATTTTACAGATGTAATGAACTGGGGATTAAAAAAAAGATAAATGCCGCGATGCGAACCGACTGAAGCTGGACACGCTTCAATGGAAAAACAAGCTTTCAAGAAAAAAATGGAGGAAATAGTGTCATTATATAGACTCGATGATTCAAGGGTTACTAGAGGATTCAAATAGGAAAGGAACTAATGTCGGTGAAATTACAGTACTGTTTCGGTCCGAATTAAAGATACCCTCGATAAACGTATTTTAAATGATGAAAGTTAGATATAACATCATTCGAATTAATGCCCGGCATTTTCCCGTTTTAACTGTTATTATATTCAATTGGATTCATCACTTTATGTCAATTGTAATTATGTTGTAGAGGGGCTCTCTATTAGTTCCTCCGTATGGCAAACTACTTTAGGAGTGAATTCCCGGGTGCGTCGGTATTTCCTAATCACTTCATTAGACTACTACATTTGGGGCTATTATACGCTTGATTGAGAGTAATATATCGGTATTCAGTGGCTTAAACCGGTAATATCCAAATAATTTTATGTCGTGCCCCATTAAAGGAACGCGCGTAAGGTTTATATAGCGGGACATAGAATAGAGAGCCAGTTACATTGACAGCCGTCAGAAACGAGACACCACTTTGGTTGAAGACCTCGTAAAAGATGAAGATTTTAGTTGTTGTCATTTGCGTGGTTGGTGCTGTGTACGCAGGTATAGTAAGAGCATACTTGTACTACCGAAAATTTAAAAAAAGGAAAAAAATCTTTGATGTTTTAGCATAAAAATTCACAATTGCGAAGAAATATTTTTGTTCTTCAAAGCAATATCTGTCCATGGCTTTATTAGTTTTTTGGTCGAATTTTCACACACTATAAACACGTGAAAACACAAGTTTACCGTAGTGCCCCCCATTCTGCAGTCACATCGACATCGGTACTTTTTTATTTTTAGAATTTTGTGTATTTTAAATCGTTTGCAGGACAGTGCCCCAAAACGTGCAAGGAGAAAGAGGCAGAATTTGACGCTTCACCTAAAAAGCCTGGCATGGAACGGCCAATCTGTACCCCTGAGGGCACGTTTGACAAGAAGCAGTACCTTGGGGCTGGGTGAGTTGAGAGATTTTCACGCCTAATATTATTTATAGTTGCTAGCATGGTAGGAGAGGCAGAAATTATTTGCTTGATTTGTTAATTGGTTGGTGTTGGTGGCGGAGCGACAGTCACGCCGAGTTGCTGTAGTAGGAATTAATACCATGACGAACGAGCGGCGCGATAGATTGAGAAAATACTGAGATAGAGACTTGAGCGCGGTTAGCAATTATTGAAGGTGGGGTAAACACACGCACAAGGGCTCGAATACAGGTAAAAACGGACACATATACTGTGTATACAAACTCACAATTACACATGCAAGCAAACACACGCAAGTACACACACTCACACACGTGCATGCACACACCCTGTTCTCTTAACACAGTTTAATAAAATAATCTGCCATCCTTGTCTAAAAAAAGTACAGTGAAACAGTGGGCGGCAAAGTATGGCCAGTTCCCGGGCAGTGGTGTAATCTAGCTTTGTATCGTTCCAGGAGTTATTGTGTAGACGAATGTGGGGTTGAACTGGCGGACTATGAATCGAAAGATAGATGGCTCCCTCACGACTGCTGTGAGTATATGCGTTTATGTTTTATAACTGAACCGTTAATATTTTGAGATAAGATCGTAAAGTCGGTTGACTACATGTTCGTAATCTCGAGCGAGGCTTGTTGCTTTACGAGACCTGCATTCCTCTTGCTTGGCTTAAGTATAAACTGTCACAAACAATTAGTTTCATTGCGATTACTATTCCTTGGTGGCTTCGCCCAGCCCTAAAATTGAGAGTAGGCCGATGTGCGATATATCTTTTAGGTAACCTTTATTTCCTAAAGTATCGTAGGTTAATCTGTCCAAAAGAAACATGACGTCATTGTGACGTCATTCACCGCTTTGGCGTTGCTCAGACGTCTACATAACGTCGTGTTGTTGCTTCATGTGACTGACCGTTGTTTTTATCTTCTGATTCCAGCGTGCGCTCGTGACAAAGCCGATGCTGGTGTGTACACAAAGCATCCAGACTGCGATAGATATGGTAAGTCCATGACCATCTGTTCAGGGATACTTCAAAGCCAAAGTTTTTGCTGTTTATTGCGTTATTGAAACAAAATTTGGTAGTGTAACATCTGTGTCCGGTGTGTGAAACCAAGGGTTGTTGAGAATGTTTGCGTGTGGTAAAAATCTGTAGGTGTTTTGAAAAAAAAGTACAATGTTTGTTTTTCGCCTTGACTTTAAATAACCGTATTTAAATCTCTCTCTCTCTCTCTCAAGCTAATTTTAACCACTTTTTTTAATTTGTAGGGGCTTACGCTGCTCGTCCGAAGGTCTAAGATGAGATGGAACACGCCAAAAATTACTTCTGAATCAACAGCACTGAGTGGATACGAATGAAATCCAACTCTTCAAAAACTGCTACGTAGATTTAAGTTTTAATGAATCAAATATTTATCAAATAAATGACCTATGATGTGAAAAACTTCGTTGGAGAATAGCAATAATAAAATAAATCTCGAGTAAAATAGTTGTCCATTCACTTCCATACTCATACACCGAATAGGCAACTCTGCTTGATCTAGAATTTAAATTCTTGAAACACACACGTTAAAAACGCGTTGTCTTGATCGTCAAACGGAAATGTGTTCAAAGAATTTTTTCCATAGTTAACAACTTTCACTTATCCTAGTTGCCTAATTAAATGATGTTTTGGTCTATTGCCCTAATAAAGTATAGTGTTTGCCAAACATAAAATATACAAATGAACAAAACATTAACACAAAGTTTTGAATTCCTCGCAATACAATAAGCAAAGGTCTTCAAAAGAATGAATTTATTTTCACATATTTAATTTTCGTCCACTTACACTAATCTTTTTCAAATTCATCTCAATAAAATCGACGTCATCTTTCTCTGCTCAGTACACATTGTATGCTTTTTCTATAAAACATTGAAAGGATTGACTGGACAAAAACTATTTACACACACTGGACAATAGAAGTGTCACCCCCTGAATCAGAGTATAATCAAAGTTATAATGCCTGGTCTACTTATAATGTGACTAATGAGTATAAAACCGTATTGTTGGTCTTTTTGTGAAATTTGATGTTTATAAAATGATACCAGGAGCATATCATTCCACAGTCATTTATCTCCTCCAAAGTATTGGTTCAGTAGGGGTGACGCTTCTATTGTCCAATGTGTGTATCTTGATACCAGTTTTTTCTCCTAAATTTTTTTAAATTGTCAGAGTTGGCAGTGAATCAGGATATTCTTAAAATTCACCAAATGCATTTTTATGAAAATAAAAAAATTCTACATAAGTTCCATTTCCATAACATACAATAAGTTCCTGGCAACATTAACAACTAAATCTAGCTAGTTAATACTTGACCTGTAAAAATGTCAAATTATTTGGCAAAACAGAGAATATGCTATGTCTGAGATAATTTCTAGGAGTGAAATATCACCGGCAAAATAGGGACCTCTTGTTTGGAATGAAATCCATCTCAAGCACAACAGGTGATGTTTTTCCAGCCCTGCAGAGAATTTAGAACTGGTTCCACTGTGTTAGGTGTGACAGCTGTGTAAGAACTCATTTATATCTTGTTTCCATTGTATTAGATGTGACAGCTGTGTTAGAACTCATTTATATCTTGTTTTCATTGTGTTTAGTGTGACAGCTGTGTTAGAACTCATTTATGTAGTGATAGCATTGTGTTAGGTGTGACAGTTGTGTTAGAACTAATTTGTATCTTGTTCTTATTGTGTTAGTTGTGACAGCTGTGTTAGAACTCATTTATGATTGTTCTTATTGCGCTAGGTGTGACCAGACCAGGGGTCACTGTTGGGATGGACACACGGCAACCCTTACACCAACAACTAAATAACAGAGATTGCTGAAGTTTTCCTGCGGGAAAATAAATCTATAAAAAATATTTCCAATATCTTGACCAAATACCTAATGTAATCAGTTATAGATGTCACAGGAAGGACATATTTACATTTTCATTTTCTTTTTTTTTTTTTTTTTTTTTTTTGGTCAAAATATTAGTCGACTTTATCAATTACTCGGTAACGGTAACTTATTAATTTAATGACGCTTAATCAGTTTTAGCTGCGTTTTTGAAATATGCTTTGGCAGCTTTTCATTGGCAAATGAAATTCCTTGACAGAAGAAAAATGTAATGTGAGGAAAATTCTACACGTGGACATTAAGGGTTTAAAACTGCATTGTAGTTAGTTTAAGACAATTACCATAGTCATCTTGGACCAATTAGGTTGATATATTTTCTTCATACTGATAAGTTTGCAATGTACGTGGAAAACAGATTTTTCATTATCTTGAATAAAATCTGCAGAAACGGTGTCAGTATTTCTTTAAATTTTTTTTTTATCNTTATCTCTTTTCAATTACTGTTGATTTATTTCCATATTGGTGTACAGTAAACAGTACATATAAAAGGACAAGTCTAGATTATACATATATATTTTATAAATAAAATGGGTGCGTCACTCACGTGTCTGGGTTGTCCCATTTATAACGGAATGGCCCCTATTTGGGTCTTGAATTTTCAGCTCAATATATACTTAAAAATTTGCAACTGAGCGTCCGAGTGGAGTCGAAAGGTGGAGGTGTAAATTGTCCACATCCATTCCACCTCCCACCTTCCACCGCCATGATACAAACCCAGGGGTCTGGGGATCTAGAATGACACCCCTGGGCAAAGGGGGAGGGGGCGGAAAGGTTTATCCTTCTTCATTTTCAATGTCCCGATTTCGTGGGTAGAAATTATCAACGATTTTTTTACAGATTTAACGAACTGGGGATTTATAAAAAAGATAAGAGCCGCGACGCGAACCGGCTGAAGCTGGACACGCTTCAAGGGATAAAACAAGCTTAAAAAAAAAAAAAGGGAGGAAATAGTGGCCTTATATAGACTCGATGATTCAAGGGCTACTAGAGGATTGGAACTAGGGTTGGAACTAATGTCGATCAAATTGCAGTACTGTTTCGGTTTTTAATGTTCAAATTAAAGATACCCTCGATATACGTACTGGGCGTGAATTACCGTATGACCACGAAATTATATAGATATTATCTCTTTCAAAACGAATGAAAGCCTGAATTTTAAATGATGAAGGTTAGATATAACATCATTCGAATTAATGCTCAGCATTTTCCCGTTTTAACTGTTATTATATCAGTTGGATTCATCACTTTATGTCAATTGTAATTATGTTGTAGAGGGGCTCTCTATTAGTTCCTCCGTATGGCAAAATACTTTAGGAGTGAATTCCCGGGTGCGTCGGTATTTCCTAATCACTTCATTAGACTACTACGTTTGGGGCTATTATACGCTTGATTGAGAATAAAATACCGGTATTCAGTGGCTTAAACGGGTAATCTTCAAATAATTTTATGCCATGCCCCATTTAAGGAACACGCGTATGGCTTATATAGCGGGACATAGAAAAGAGAGCCAGTTACATTGACAGCCGTCAAAAACGAGACAAGTACCCACTTTGGTAGAATACCTGGTTGAAGATGAAGTTCTTAGTTGTCGCCATTTGTGTGGTTGGTGCTGTATATGCAGGTATAGTAAGAGCATACTTGTACCACCGAAAATTTAAAAAAAGAAAAAAAAACTTCTATGAAGTTTTAGCATAAAAATTCACAATTGCGAAGAAATACTTTTGTTCCTCAAAACAATTTCTGTCCATGGCTTTATTGGGTTTTTGGTCGAATTCTTCACACACTATAAACGCGTGCAAACACGAGTTAACCATGATGCCCGCATGCTGCAGCCACATCGACTTCGGCGCTTTTTGATTGTGAGTTATCGCTTTTTTAAATTTTGTGCATTTTTAAATCGTTTGCAGGACAGTGTCCCAAAACGTGCAAGGAGGAGGAGGCAGATTTTGACGCTTCACCTCCTTTGGCTGGCCGGGACAGGCCAATCTGTACCCCCGAGGGCACGTTTGACAAGAAGCAGTACCTTGGGTCTGAGTGAGTTGAGAGATTTTCACGCGTAATATTATCTATAGATGTTGATATGGTAGGAGAGGCAGAAATTATTTGCTCGGTTCATTAATTGGTTGGTGTTGGTGGCGGAGCGACAGTCACGCCGAGTTGCTGTAGTAGGAATACCGTGACGACCGAGCGGCGCGATAGATTGAGATAATGCTGAGATAGAGAATTATTGAAGGCGGGGTAAATACACGCACAAGGGCTCGAATACAGGTAAAAACGGACACATATACATATACAAACTCACAATTACACATGCAAGCAAACACACGCAAGTACACGCACTCACACACGTGCATGCACACACCCTGTTCTCTTAACACAGTTTAATAAAATAATCTGACATCCTTGTCTAAAAAAAGTACATTGAAACAGTGGGCGGCAAAGTATGGCCAGTTCCCGGGCAGTGGTGTAATCTAGCTTTGTATCGTTCCAGGAGTTATTGTGTAGACGAATGTGGGGTTGAACTGGAGGACTATGAAACGAAAGATAGATGGCTCCCTCACGACTGCTGTGAGTATATGCGTTTATGTTTTATAACTGAACCGTTAATATTTTGAGATAAGATCGTAAAGTCGGTTGACTACATGTTCGTAATCTCGAGCGAGGCCTGTTGCTTTACGAGACCTGCATTCCTCTTGCTTGGCTTAAGGTTAAACTGTCACCAACAATTAGTTTCATTGCGATTACTATTCCTTGGTGGCTTCGCCCAGCCCTAAAATTGAGAGTAGGCCGATGTGCGATATATCTTTTAGGTAACCTTTATTTCCTAAAGTATCGTAGGTTAATCTGTCCAAAAGGAATATGACGTCATCGTGACGTCATTCACCGCTTTGACGTTGCTCAGACGTCCACATAACGTCGTGTTGTTGCTTCATATGACTGACCGTTGTTTTTATCTTCTGATTCCAGCGTGCGCTCGTGACAAAGCCGATGCTGGTGTGTACACAAAGCATCCAGACTGCGATAGATATGGTAAGTCCATGACCCTCTGTTCAGGGATACTTCAAAGCCAAAGTTTTTGCTGTTTATTGTGTTATTGAAACAAAATTTGGTTGTGTAACATCTGTGTCCGGTGTGGGAAACCAAGGGTTGTTGAGAATGTTTGCGTGTGGCAAAGATCTGTAGGTGTTTTGAAAAAAGTAAAATGTTTGATTTTCGCCTTGACTTTAAATAACCGTATTTTAAACCTCTCTCTCTCTCAAGCTCATTTTAACCACTTTTTTAATTTGTAGGGGCTTACGCCGCTCGCCCGAAGGTCTAAGATGAGATGGAACACGCCAAAAATCACTTCTGAATCAACAGAACTGAGAAATCTCGAGTAAAATAGTTGTCCATTCACTTTCATACTCATACATCGAATAGGCAACTCTTCTTGATCTAGAATTTAAATTCTTGAAACACAAACGTTATAAAAGAAAATTGTTTTGATCGTGTCCAAAAAAATGTGTTCAAAAAAATGTTTTCCATAATTAACAACTTTCACTTGTCCTAGTTGTAAAATTCATGTTTTATCAAAATAAAATCAAAAGTAAAGATAATAAGAGAAAATCCTGACTCAGTTTACTGGTTTTTGTGCTAACTTTTAGATAGGTATTTCAATCGTATTTATAGGGCTTCTTGTTTAAGAGAAAATCTTGATTAAAAAATGACAATTTTAGCCCCAAAACGCTGATATCACGTCACTCGTGTTACACTGTGACTACAAAATTGTTTTGCTTGCTAGACCATATCCTTTAGTTATAGTCCGGTGGCTTAAGGAAAAATTCGTGACACGGCGGATAAAAGCATCAAATTTGGCATGTAGTTACCTTTTGACATTCTAAATCAAATCAGAGCCGTAGCCCTCTCAAACAATTAACCGTTTCTTCAAAAAATCCAAAATGGCTGCCAATTTATGGAATTCTATAGAAATATGTACATACCTATGTTGATTTTTATCAAATAAATTATTTTCTCAGAATTTTCCACACCCTTATTACCCATTTTATTCATATATGTCAGAAAGCAAACAAATTCCCTTAGACTTTTTGAAAAAATTCAAGATGGCTGTCATATGCCATAGAAACAGTCATAAGAATACTGGTGCACAACTAATACCAGCTAGAAAGATACGTTTTCCACTATCAAATTAAGTCTGTTTCTCAGATTTTTGTTACCCACATAATATGTTTGTGGTAAGTAACCACGAAGTGCTCTTGGGCATTTTGGAAAATCCAAGATGGCTGTCATGTGCTACAGGAATTCTAGTAAACGGGGGATTCAACTAATGGCAACTGGAAAGATTAATTTTCCACCATCAAATTAAGTTTGTTTCTGAGTGTTTTCCACATCCTTTCCACCCACACAATATGTATGTGGTGAGTAACTAACATGTATTCTTGGGCAATTTGAGAAAATCCAAGATGGCCTCCATATGTCCTAGGAATGCTTCTAGTATTACAAAGGGTTGGAATTAATGCCAGCTAGGAAAAAAATAATTCACTATCAAATTCAGTTTATTTTTTCAGTGTTTTACACATTATTATTACACTGTGATACATATCTAGCAGGTAATAAATGTGCATGTTTTATCATTTTGAGAAAATGCAAGATGGCTGTCATTGGCCATAGGAATACTACTGGAATTACAACTGCACATCCATGGCTTTTCATCTACTACCAGGGTGAAATTGTGTTTGCTTATCAAGTTTTGCCCATCCTTATTAGTCCTATGATATATATCTGGTGGGTAAATAGTGTGCATCCTTGGATATTCTGAGAAAATCCAAGATAGCTACAATTTGACATAGGAATACTAATGGTTGGCTTTCAATTGCTGCTAGAGAGGCATATGGTTTATTATACAATTACATTACCATGGGTTTGTTTTAAAAATAATTTACGTATTTCATTCCATTTATTATTACCCCTGTGGTGTATACCTGGTCTGTAGCATGTATGTATCTTTGGGTATTCTGAAAAAAGTTCAAGATGTCTGCCTTTTGTCATTAGAATATTACTACACATAATCAAATAATGCCAGAGATACACTTTAAAGTACAATTTAAATGTAATGTAATTTAAATGTAGTTAACTTTAGATCGTTTTTAATTGTATTTTATATCCTATTTATCCCGATGAAAGACTCTGTGTGTGTAGAAAGTGTATGTATCTTTGAGTACTATTCGGAGAAAACCCAAGATAGCTGCCAGTTACCGTAGGAATATATCATTCAAATGCACATAGGTGTCAATTAATGGAATAGTTCAGACATTGATTCCAACATGAAATAAAGCCGTTTGATGTTCAAACATGTTAACATCCTTATTAACCTTACTCTATATAAATCTGGTGTCTAGCAAGTGTGAATGTTGCGTATTTGATAAAATTCAAGATTGCTGCAATTCACAATAGGAATAGTACAGTCAACTACTGCCAGAGAGACATTGGGTTCAATATAAAATGAATTTTGTTTTTCGGTATCTCCCACATTCTTTTTGGACTTTGAGATATCTGTCTGGTGGGTAACAAGTGTGTACCCTTAAGTATTTTGACAAAATATCATGATTGCCCTCATTTGCCTTAGAAGTGCCTATAAAATCCAATGCACCAGTTTTCCTATGGGGAAAAGAAGGCCATCTTGGATTTCCCCAAAATGATCAAACATGGACATTAATTACCTAACAGATATGTATCATGGGATAATGATAATAATAAAAAAACAGAAAAATAACTGAATGTAGCTTCATTTTAAATGGAAGCCTATCTCTCGCAGGTATTAACTGAACCCCACCTTCTATGGCTAATGGCAGCCATTTTGTTTTGTTTTGTTTTCAAAAAGGATACACATAACATTCTCACCACATATATATTATGTGGATTAAAAAGATGTGGAGAATACTAAGCAACAAACCTAATTTATCAATTAATATTATATCTCCATGGCGGAAGAAGCCCTATGTGTATACAAGTATTCCTTTGATATGGCGGCCATCTTGGATTTTTCTCGAAATGCCTGAGAATAAAGGTTAGTTACTCACCACAAATATATTCTTTGTGTAATACGGCACTCAGAAACAAAATTAATTAGATAGTGGGCAATGCATCTTCCTAGTTGGCATTAGTTGAAAACCCTTGTACAAGTTCTAGTATTCCTATGCCATACGGCGGCCATCTTGGATTTTTCAAAAAGTACAAGGACACTCGTTTGTTATCTGACATATATGCATAATATGGGTAATAAGGATGTGGAAAACATTGAGAAAATACTTTATTTGATAAAAATCTACATAGGTATGTATATATTTCTACATAATTTCACAAATTGGCGGCCATTTTGGATTTTTTGGCCAAACGGTAAATTTTTTCCGTGGGCTACGGCTTTAATTAGATTAAGTATGTCAAAAGGTTCCCACATGCAAAATTTGGTGCTTTTATCCGCCGTGTCACAATTTGGCCATTTTTTTTTTTTTGGCCCTAAGCCACCGGACTATTAATAGGAAATTTAATTAGCTGCATTAGTTTTGGACTTTTTCATTAATATCCTAGATCCCTTAAGCAATGTTTCGGTCTATT